TCTATGGAAGAAATATTGGCTTCAGAGGATCTAGTTCCAAAGAAAAGAAGGATGATTAGAAAGACTACTTCAACTGCAGAAAGCCTGGTCATTTCATTGCTGACTGTCCAGAAGTGCAAAAGGACAAGTCAAATAAGGGAAGTTTTCAGAAGGATAGCTTCAGAAACAAGTTCAAGAAAATTTTCATGGAAACATGAGATAAACTTGACAATGAAGAAGACTCTGAAAAGGATGAAGAGCAAGCCAACCTTGCCTTGATGGCTCTTAAATCTTCTGAAGCAAAATTTGACTCAGATTCTGGTTTAGAGTCTGAGGAAGAGGATCAAGTATTTTCTAAATGATCTCGTTCTAATTTAATTACTTTCATTCAAGATCTCTGAGGAACATGTCAAGATAAAGTCAGACACATGAAAATATTGAAAAAGCAATATGATCTTTTGAAGGTAGAAATTAAATCATGTTCAAAGTAAAAATGAAGCTCTAGAGAAATATCATATTGCTCTAGTAAAAGAAGTGGCTGATAAACTTCTTTATGAACATGAAATGGATCTTCAAGAGTTTATCATAAATCATTTTAATAGAACCAAACTTGCTTCTATAATTTATGGAACAAGCAGAAACAAATGGGAAGGTCTTGCATACTCACAAAAATATTTTAATATAAGGTTGACACCTTGAGTAAACCAATAGATCCTTCTTCTTCAAGCTCTGCTCAGGAAGGGCTTGACTCTGATTTTGTACCTGCTAAGGAAAATACAAAGGTTCTGAATCATTCATAATCTAAAACTATTGATTCTAGGGTTCTGAAGAAACCATAACCTAAGACTCTAAAGTTAAAGGTTCTGAAGAAGGCAGAATGCAAGATATCAGGAGATAAGGTTTTGAAAGGCTTAGAACCTAAGGCAAAGTTTCACTTAAGACAACAAACTTCTAAGAAAAAAGTCTTGAATGATCCTAAACCTTATCATATGAGAGCAAAAGCACAAAATAAGAAGAAATTTGTTAGATCTAACCCTAAAGGACCCATGAGACTATGGGTACCTAAATCTCAAATTGTTTTTGTGACATATATGCTTCAAGGGAGAAACAAAGCAACAATCATGGTAGCTGGACAATGGATGCTCAGGACATACGACAGGAGAAAGGCATATGTTCCAAACTCTAGCTCTAAAAGAGGAAGGAACTGTGAGATTTGGAGGAAACTAAAAAGGAAAGATTACTAATATGGGTACTATTGGTAACTCCTATATCTCAATAAAGAATATTTGGCTTGTAGATGGACTTAAATATAACCTACTGAGCATTAGTCAATATTGTGACAGTGGTTATAAAGTCATGTTCAATAAGAGTAATTATATAGTCATGAATGAATCTCACAAGTCCATAATTTTCAAAGGTAGAAGAAAGGCAATGTTTATAAAAATAATTTTTTAGAATTGATTGATCAGAAGGTACTTTTCCTTCTATCAGTGAGTGATGAGAAGTGGCCATGGCATAGAAGGTTTGGTTATGTTAACAAGAGATTAATCTATAAACTTACCATGTTGAAACTTGTTAAAGGATTGTCGTACCTTAACTATCATTCATATGCTCTTTTTGGAGTATGCCAAGTAGGGAAAATCAGTAAAACATTTTCAAAAACTAAAAACATTATCTCTACCTCTAGACCCATAGAATTACTTCACATTTATTTGTTTGGTCCTATTAGTACTGCATCAATCAATGGGAAGAAATATGGACTAGTCATTATTGATGACTATAGCAGATGGACTTGGGTTAAATTTCTTAGAACCAAGGATGAATCATATGACGTGTTCAAAATTTTCTGCATACAAGTACAAACTAAAAAAGAATAAAAAAAATTTAAAAGGTAAGAATTGGTCATGGTGGTGAATTTGAAAATGAGTCATTTGAACTTTTTTGTGAAAAACATGGAATTCTCCATGAGTACTCTTCTCCTATAACTCCATAACAAAATGGAGTTGTAGATAAAACTAAGAGATCTTTACAAGAAAAGGCTAGAACCATGATCCATAAAAGCAACTTACCTAAGTACTTGTAGAAAGAAGCTATGAACATAACATGTTATGTTCAGAATATAATTTATATTAAACCTATATTAAAAAGACTTTATATGAGCTATTCAAGGGAAGAAAGCCAAGCATTTTTCATTTTCATCAGTTTGGATGCACATGTTACATCTTATACAATAAAGTCTATCTGAAGAAATTTGATGCCAAAGCTCATAAGAGTATACTTTTGGGATACTCTGAACGCTCTAAGGCATACAGAGTGTATAACTCAGAAACCAATATGGTTCAAGAGTAAGTACACATCAAACTTGATGAAAAGAGCCTGATAGTAATATGTTATAGCTAGTTCAAAATGTTTTAGAAATCTATGTATCTAAATACACATCAGGAGTAAGAGGTCCAGAAGTTGGAAGTTTAGAAGCTAATAATCCATCAAAAGCGGGATGCTCAAAATCTATCAGAACTTCATAAACTGGTAATCCAATCTCAGAAGTTCATCCAGATGTTGAAGAATCTGAAGAAGCTCAAGATGGCTCCTCAAATGCATCACAATCTAAGAAGATCTTCAAGTACAACTCCTCTCATCTAAAATAGTTCATTCTAAGTAACAAATATAATCCTAGAAAGACAACGTCTTCCTTTAGAGAAGAGCATTCTATGTTAGGAATTATCTCCATGAATGAATCCAATTTTATTGATGAAGCAATTTATAATGATGGTTGGATTATGGATATGCAAGAAGAGTTGAGTCATTTTCAAAGAAATGCTTTATGGGATCTGGTACCCAAACCTTTGTAGAAGAACATTATTGGAACAAAATGGGTATTAGAAAAAAGTTCAATGAGCAAGAAGAAGTGGTAAGAAATAAGGCTAGACTTGTAGCTCAAGGCTATAATTTGTAAGAAGGTATAGATTTCTATGAAACCTTTGCACCAGTTGTAAGCTTAGAGGTAATCAGGTTACTTCCCAGCAAAGACTAAAGTTGCTTCTTATTCGATGACGAGCTTGAAGGTGAGAAAACACACAAGAAGGGGGGTTGAATCGTGTGAGACAAGGATACAAATCTTTTCTTTTTAGAAGATATATTTTATTCTGAATAGTTAGTCAGAACTAGATCATAAACGCATCAGGACTGAAGGCAAACGCAAAGTAAACAACATATAACTCAAATAGAAAAGAATAACAATGATAAAGTTTTACACATACAAAACATAATATAATACTCAAATATATTAATTAACTCTCACTCGACGTGATTATTCTTTACAAAGATGTGTCTGCTACAAGTAAAAATAATCTCCTTATATAAAGATGACGGTCCAATAAAAATACCCATTAAGATACTAACAAATTAAGATAAAATCAAATCTTCAACAAACAAATCTTTTATTGAAATAAAATTCAATTAAATCTTTTCAAGTAGATTATGATAATTAAATTTGTTTTAACGGAATCTTTTCAAAAACACATAAATAGAATTTTTAACAAAATAGATCTTTCTGAATTATCCAAAATAGATCTTTTAAAAAATAACGCACCAGTAAGAAAACTGAGTCAAGATATCTTAACAATTTTGAGACATCTTGCCTATCAGTTTTCCTATAAAAATAAATCAATTTATAAGGAATAACTGTAGCATTCATCTCTATTTCACCCCTTAACTGTAGCATTCATCTCTACGAGCTCCCAAAAGGCGTTTTAACGGCAATGAGTATTCTTTAAGGTATTCTTCAGCCTACTATTATAAATTTCCATAGTTTTGGAGGCGGAATCATTTATTGATGAGTTAAGGGGCACTAAAACTTTGGAATGATGTTGAGAGTGTTTAAGAGGTGGATCCTGAAAGTGTTAATTCTCTCATGAAGAAAACACTTTATATCGACACTTGTTTGATTATTTTGGGGAGCACTGGGAGAGAATTTTTTTTGGTTGAAAAAGGATTTTATTTTGAAATATGTTGTGATTTAAGGGGGAAAAAAACCTCCTAATTTTTTTTTTTTGATTTTTGTCTCTCTATTTTTATTTTTTTAGTTTTGATCCATCTATTTTAAAATTTGGAATTTTTGTGTCTCTATTTTTATTTTTTCTTAGTTTTGATTCCCCTATTTTAAAATTTAAATTTTTGATCTCTCTATTTTATTTTTTTAAAGTTTTAGTCCCCTATTTTAATTTTTGTTTTGAATTTTAATCCCTTTTTCAATTAGAAACTAATTTAATAGGAGACCAAAATTCAAAAAAAAAATAGAGAGATAAAAATTCTAGATTTTAAAATAGGGAAAACAAAACTAAAAAAACTGAAAATAAAGAAAAAAATCCAAATTTTAAAATGAGAAGATTAAAACTCAAAATAAAATAAAAATTAGAGAGACTAAAATTATAATTAAACCTTTTAAGATTTGTAAGTGGTGATAAAAACCTGATGAAGATAAATTTTCTGACTTTATCTTTTGCAATCAATCATATTTTATAGTAGGTATGACGAATAACCAATTTTAATTTTTTATAGAATTTAATTGATATATATAAATAATGTAAAATAATATAATGTTATTAATTTTTTTTTAAAAATATGAATGGGATGAGATGGAATTTATTATTGTTATTAGTTAACGATATAAATATCAGTGTAGGACCGATTTTCTCTTTTTTATATACATACAAAATTAGGTTGAATCTTAACTTTCTTGTCGTTTTTCATTACTTAATTAAGCTTGAAAGCGATACATGATTTAATATGTACAAAGAAGATTAATGAGTTCATCTTTTGCAGCCCCACACGTTCAGATATCAATTATTCTTTTGCTTCTCTTAATTAAGCTTTATATTTGATTACTAAAATGTTTCTGTTTTATTATTTTTTTTTTGTTAGTGTTGATTTCCTTATAAATCAAAAGCATGAAGAAATGGATGAGTTTACAAATTACTTTCTTCTGGTTATGTAGTAAATTCAGAGTGACCATTCAGGTTTCACTCATTTATCTTTATACCTTTCCTTACCAAAAAGAAAACAAAGATCCGCGTCGTGTTCGCAGTCACAGTCACGGCAACGATCATGATCCTTGATTTTACGGTGAAATGCTCCGAATGAACTCCAATTGCAGTCACAGCCCAAATTATTGTAACAGGTTTTTTAAAATCCTACAAAAGAGAAGACAAGAATAAGACAATAGATTTTATTTTCTATGTCAAAATTTGAAATTCCAAAAACTGTATTCTTATTTCATATAAAATAAAATCTGATTAGTGATTACTTCACATAAAAGCAACAAAAGAAATGATATTAATGAAAAAGGTTGTGGTGTAATATAGACATTTTCTATTCTACAATCCAAAAATAAAAATAAACCAGATTTAATAGTTCCATAGTGATACCTCATCATCATCTTGATAGTCTTGTACATCAATATGTTGATACTCATCATCATACCCAAAACTATGTGTAGGGGACATTAGAGCCATATTCCTCCATAACTCTGGTATATTCGTGTTCATCACTTCTTCTTCTTCCTCTATCCAAAACATATTCAACTTATCTGTTGCGTTGACTGGTACAACCATGACCGGTACAGTGTTGTCAACTACTTTAGTCAGTAAATTTTTGTATGGTCTGAAAGCCTCAGCGGCTTCTGTAGCGGCTTTTTGTATATCTTTTGTATCAGAGGTTGCGGGAATTGGGAGCCGCCACACCGAGTCTGCGAAATTGAGACAGGCGCAGCGGCCTCTCAATGCCATCGCGGCAACATCGTGGGCTCGGGCAGCCATCTCGGCCGTTGGGAAAGTTCCTAGCCAAATTCTAGTCTTTTTGTTTGGCTCTCTCATTTCGCATACCCATTTATCTAAGTTCCTCTTCCTCACGCCCCTATACACCGGGTGACGAGTTTCCTTGAATATCTTCCTCCCAGCTGGCTTCTTCGGGGAACTCGCTGCTAACCGCATCTCCCAGTCCGGTGATGATGTGCAGTAGGAAGATGAAGCTGTGGAGGAAGAGTTGTCACTAGTATACAACATATCAAAGTGTTGGAGAGAATGGAAAAGATTTTTAAAGAGAAAGTTGGAATTGGTGAGGGTTAGTTTTAAGAGAGTGAAGAGTAAGGTGTGTTGTATATATAGGCAACTGGCAAGCATGGTTAAAGGAAAGAGGCAAGGTTGAAGGAAAGAGGCAAGGTAAGAGGGAGAGTGTGAGCGTGTGTGTTTTGTGTGAGTGAGCAAGTTGCAAACTTTGTGATTAAAATAATGTTAAAATATTTGGAAAGGTTATGATTATTTGGAAAGAGAAAGGGAAACCGATAAGAAGAGAGGGTAAGGCAGAGAAAGAAAATGTGCTTGTGTGTAGTATGTGACACTTAAAAGGAACACTTGGCTCACAACGAATAATGTTAAAATATCTCCTTCTTTTTCTTTCTAAAGCATATTATCTAAATATCTATACTACATCACTATAATCTTTATTAAAAACAACAAATAAAAATAGATAGACAAAAAAACCAAAACAATATATATATATATATATATATATATATATATATATATATATATATATATATATATATATATATATATATATATATATATATATATATATATATATATATATATATATATATATATATATATATATATATATATATATATATATAAACTACAATTACAATATAAATTGTGACTTCGGAAACTGAGTTCAAGATTCTTCCGTTTTTAAATAGCATAAAAAGTTAAGATTTATAAATTTGAAAGCACAAAAGCACCACTACAAATAGTATAATTTTTTATAAAATTTTAATTTTAAATGGATAAATCCCATACAGGTCATGTTTATTTTTTCTTTTAAATTTATTATATTCTTGACACTAAAAAAAGACAATTGTTTGTCACATTATTTTCACGTCGCAAAAGTGAAAATCACATTAATTAACGAAGTGAATAAGAGATTAAAACACTTGTGACTATTTTTTTTTGCCACATAAAAATTATGTTATAAATTTGTCACATAATTTTCACATTGTAAAATTATGCTATAAAAGAGGCGGGTTTGTCACGTGATTTTCATGACACAAATATGATTTTTGCGTCGTACTTTCCACGACACTAATTTGAAATGGTTGTTATTAATTAGCGTCATATTTTTCATGATGCAAATTAATTTTTTAATAAAAAAATACAAAATTATTAATTTTGATTATTAATAAAAAATATAAATATAAATTATTAATTTTTTATTTAAAAAATACAAAAATATTAAAAATATTAATTTCAATTATTAATAAAAATGCCTATATTTTCAAATATTAATTAGAAATGTGAATTTCAATTAAAAATAATTAGGAATATTATACAAAAACTAATATTTAAAAGTAAAATAATAATAAAAATCTCAATCAACATCATCGTATTCATCATCATCCATAGCTTCATCCACGTCATCATCATCATCCAAATCACCACTTGTTCCACTATTTGTTTGGTTTCTTTGTGAGAACAATTGTCGCATTATTTCCTTCATCTCAATTTGTCTTTCCTTCATTGCCTCGATTTGGGCATTCATCACTGCCTCACATTGTGCCGCCTGTACCTCACGTTATGTCGTATCATGTCTCGTCTCAGTTAGCACCAATTTCCGCACTGTTTCCATATTCGAGATCTTAATCATCATTTTGTTTGGACTACAAATAGTGTGATAATGGGAAACTTGAATGTCAATTCTACCTTGAGAGATGAAATTCAACAAGAGCAAGTGCTAGATGCGAAGTTACAAGAGATGTTAGTTCAACCAGGTTTCTCACAAGCCATAGATGAGGTTATTCTATTTAATCAACGGGTTTGTGTTCTAGATGACACGGTGTTGAAAAGAAAGATTCTAGAGAAAGTTCATAAGGGTGTTTTTACTATACATCCTGGTTCTTCGAAAATGTATCAAGATTTAAAGAGGGACTATTGGTGGTCCGGGATAAAGAGAGATATTGTCGAAATGTGCAATTTGCCAACAAGTAAAGATAGAACACCAAAGACCGGGTAGTTTATTACAACCATTTGAGATTCTAGTATGGAAATGGGATAGTATTTCAATGGAATTTGCGGTTAGGTTATCCCGTACGCAGGGTGGTTACAATTCTATTTGGGTGATTGTAAATTAATTGACGAAGTCGGCACATTTCTTGGCTGTGAAAAATACTTACAAGGCAAGTCATCTTGCAAGATTTTTTATTTTGGAAATTGTGAGACTTCATGGTGATCCCTTCAGCATTTTATTTGATAGATATTTGAAGTTTACTTCGAGGTTTTGAAGAGCTTTTCAACAAGCTATGAGATCTAAGTTGTGTTTGAGTACGTCAAATCATCCTCAAACGGATGGTCAGACGGAGCGGACACCCTTGTGTTGACCAGACAAAGGATGTAGTAAATTTGTGGCCCCTACAACCAAGAAAAAGTCTTTGAGTGACTCTGATTATGATGTTGAATAAGATGTTAAAGACATCATGCCTTCTGCTAAGAAAAAAGGTGTTTATGTGGATCAAAGTTTCTACAGAAGTATGATTGGCAGTCTTCTGCGTCTTACAGCTAGCAGACCTGACATCACTTTTGTTGTAGGAGTTTGTGCTAGAGATTAGGTTGAGCCTAAAATGATCCACATTACTCAAGTGAAGAGGATCTTAAAATACATCAATGGTACTAGTGATTATGGCATGTTGTATTCTCATAGTATTAATTCAACACTTGTAGGGTATTATGATGCAGATTGGGCAGGTAGTGCTGATGATAGAAAAAGTACTTTTAGAGGATGTTTCTTATTAGGAAACAATATTATCTCTTGGTTCAGTAAGAATAAAATAATTGTGTCTCTATCTACAGCTAAGGCTGAGTATATTGATACAGGAAGCAGCTGCTATCAATTTATTTGGATGACACAAATGCTAAAGGAATATAATGTCGAACAGGATGTCATGACATTATACTGTGACAACTTGAGTGATATCAACATTTCTAAAAGCCCCATTCAATATAGCAGGACAAAGCACATTGACATTCGTCATCATTTTATCAGGGATCTAGTTGAAGACAAAGTTGTTACTCTTGAACATATGGCCACTGAGAAGCAACTGACTGATATTTTCACCAAAGCTCTGGATATAAATCCATTTGAGAAGTTGACCGTGCGACACTGAAGTGTCTGTCGGATAATAACTGCAAGTATACAGTAGTTCATTTAGTTTTAAAAGGTTTTCGAACCCACATGAATTGATATTCAAACTAATGTTATCTATTGTTACCGTGCAAAGCTAAAGCTAACGGTTAAAACAATAAGAACAAGAATAAAGATACTAATTTCTAAAGGTTTGAAAACGATGAAGCAACAAGTCCGAAATATGAATTTCGTGCTTCTAAGGGACTTGTAGAATTATGGTGCTAATTATGATTAAATCAAGTTCCGTAGAAAATATCGACTTAAAGACTTCGTCTCACACTCTCGCGCTATTGACAAGAACCACACATCCTAACCACAAGATTTTTCTCTCACTCGCTCGTTTCAATTAAAAAGCGTGTTTTGAAAGTCAATAAGATTCTAAACGATGCCTAAAGCGCTCTTGCTGTGTTTAGGATCATTGCCTAGTTTCCACTATCCGGTTCATTCCTCACACTCTAGCGCTATCGGCCAGAACCTTGTGTTCAAAACAATATATCACACAAAATGGAAACTACAACCAAAAAAACACATAGTCATAATTTTGCACCTAACATTTCTACTGAGTCCCGTCGGTAACGACGATCCTAATATGCCGAACTAAAGAAATTTAACAAGACATAATTTTATTTAAAACTAACAAGTTCACAACAGTTAAACTTACAAATAACATGTTAAGCGATATTTAAAAAATAATAATTGTAAGTAAATAAACGGGGAAAAACATGAAAATTAAATAACGAAACTTGTATTAGAAATGCCGGCGGGCTTCGTTTGCGATCTCAGAGTACAATAAATGAAAAAAGAAAAGTAAACAATTGTGACAATCTCTAGATGTGAGTTATTGTCGCTTTTACAAGTAATTTATGCTTAAACACTAAGACGAAAAATCTGCAGCGGTTCTGCATGTCTTAAATCCCTGGAAACTTCCCCTAGAGGGTCTATATATAGAGAGAGCCTCCCTGGCAACTGCTCTGGACGTGTCAGAGAAGTGGAAGGAAAAGCAGTTGGCAGTAACTGCTTAAAAATTGCCTCTGATGCAAAATTATCATCTGTGAAATAATGGTGAACGCCACTTTGGGGTAATGGAAAACACCATTGCCTCTTCATTAATTTGACGTGGCAAGGACTGGAAATGGCGAACGCCATTTGGAGGTGGCGAACGTCATATCAGCAGAGTGGGCAGAAACTTCACTTTTTGCTGCTCTTTTAGCTCCTCTTTCCGATTTTTCTCCCGAAAACATGTATGCAATAGACCTGTAAACATAGTGTCGTGGTGAAAATTAGATATCAAGCTATTGATTAACTAGAATCTTAATTCATTCACAACCGGTCTTTGATTTATCCGAAGGAAAGGTTAAAGAAAGGAAAAGCCTATTTTGAATCTTAATTCATTTTTTTATGAGTTTTTCAATTATTAATAAAAATTGAGATGAAATTAATTAGAAAAAGGTTGTTTTTAATTTTTAGGAAAAAAGGAAATAGATTAACTTACTCTAACAAAATTATATTTTGTTATTTTTTTTATTAAAATTTGTTTTTATTCTTTTATTAAAATAAATATTTTTTCAGTATTTTTTTTTATGTTAATGGGTTAGTAGTTAGTTTAGTTTATATTAATTATTATTACAATTACAAATAAAATAAAATAAAAACATATAAAAAAAGCCAAATAAAAACGGGTCGGGCTGGGTGATGAAGCCCCAGACCCAGACCCGGGTTAGTTATAAAAAGGGGGGGGGGGGGGGGGGGGTTCACTTGAAACCCTAGATTGGAAGAGCTCCAAATGGTGCCTCTTCCTCCTTTTGTCTCTCTGAATTTCGTCTCCTCTCTCCTTCTCATTTGCATGCGTTTTCTTCTCTTTTCTTCCCTGTTTGCTGCAATTTCTTTACCTCCTCTTCTTCTTCTCATCTCTTGGCCGCGATTTTTGATGATTGTTTTCGTAACG